TTTATCAAATAAAATGTGATTTAATGCAATGTCTGGTGCTTGGAGTGCATGAAAGTAATGTGGTTAGTGGTCATCGTGCATATGACAAAGAAGAGATTCTGAAAAGCGTCGATTTGTATCCGGGTTGTTACATTAGAAATAAGTCACAAAAGAATCAAAATTTTAATTGCATATGCTAAATTATTTCAACTAAAAATCAAGATATTCTACAAGAAGGTATTTAACTATCACCGTTAAAATGACTGATGGCATTAGTCATGTATTGGATTTTAGATTCAATTTAATAACCGTTAATCTGTAGAAAATTGCTATATGTGGTTGTTCTCCTGCGAAATAATCAGTGAACGTCAAGTATTACAAGCTGGGTTACAGATAGTAGTCGAAGAACACGTTTCGGCGATCCGAAGATGAAATTACTTGATCAGTGGTGGAGACAGAAGACTGACAAAGAGAATGCTAGAATAGCGTAGATTTGTGCTCATGTCCCATCCATAATGTCAGTTAACGAATGGCGATAGTAATGAGTATTGAATACAATTTGCTATCAAACTTTTAATGAAAAATGCGAATATTGATGTACTATTAGAAAGACAAAGATTGTAAGATGAATGTGCAACTCAGGATGCAAGTTGAAAACTTGCATTTGACGTAATGGGACACCTTCTCAAAACATTTTTCGCTGACCTGTGAAATTGGATGATTATCGAACACGAATATATTTTGCTGAACATCCAGTTCAAAAGAAACAGGTTACCCATACCAAGCATGTTTATTGTGCGTTGGTAGAAGCGCCGCTTCAGGTACCAAGAAAGAATTATTCTGGGATTTTAATAATTGCTTATATTAAATTGATTATATTAGTCAGAGCTGTTTCGTTCCTAATCAGTTACTTCGTAATAATGCTTAATGCAACTTTACTAGGATAACTGATGCCGGAGTAAAGATTGTCAGTTAGTCTGATAGGTGAGCAACTTCAGTTGCTCAGCGTTGTCTTCATCTACGCATCACTGGGTAGTGATGAAGAGAGACGGGTGCAATTGAAGTCAGGTTTACGAAAGAATTGCCTGACGCTCTTACCACGGCTTTTGAACTTGCGCAACCAGTGCGAATGAAGATATGCTGTCTTCAAAGAAACTGGCGAAAGTAAACTAAGCAGCTGCGTCAGATCGTGAAGACGTATGTTTACATGATAGGGGGCGTTTTCCGCTGTGTATTGACACTGTAATTCCTTGGTTAAATTTAAGAGAATTCGATAAAACGGACGCTTTTAAAGCACTTCAAGTTCGACAAACGCTGATCAGTAAAACACCATCCTCTTCGAGGAACGATGCGCGTTTCTTCGCTATTTATGAATTGTCCATTTGCGTGATAAAATCACATTACGGTAGAAGAAGAGTTTCAAACGAATTCATGACGAGCTTACTGTATAATGTTGTTCAGTTGGGGGTTGGGATAATTGACGTTATTATATGTCGATAAGCTTGTTTCATACATGACAGGTGTATTTCTGTAAATGGTTTATGATGACGCGATTGTGTACTTCGTTTTGCGCGTTCTTAATGAAAACATTCGTGTGCACGAATGTATAGACTTCTCAAGCAATCGTTATTAATGAATTCAACCGAAGAATAATTAGCAAAGGATAAAGAAGAAATCGAATTTCTCAATTTATCTTGATTTTCAAATCCTCGGAATATATTTAGTAGAATTCAGTGAGTTTCGGTTGAAGAATAGACGCAGCGTCAGTACAGGAGAATATCGTTGGGACTTCATCTGTCCCTTCTATCGCAGACCTACTCATGAAACATTTAGAACAGCTCTCATTTAGTAATAGAAACTGTTAACTTATTAACGATACCAGAAATATATGCAGAGTTCTTCAAATTACCATAAAAGTATTACCTTATTGGATGTCTTAGAGTACAACTGTAAAAGGAACAGGGACGCATGTATGAATATCGCACAAGACGACTTGTTCGTTTAGGCTGGACCCACAGAGATCAATGAGAAATGGCGGATTAGGGGTGACGCAGTCGGAGAACGTAAATTATGCTGAAAAACGCGATGCTGGCAATCATCCGTACGACTGCTGAAATGACGCCGAAGTTCAACGGTGATGACATAAAGTGCCCGATCCATTTCGGCTCAGGCCGGAAATCACTATCCGCATTACAGCGTCTTGATTATATTAATAAATGAAACAGCCTCAATGTGATTTATTACTTACTTTTACCA